ACCACCTAAGACCACCACTGGCCGCTAGCCACCCACTATCGAAAGTCATCATATCGCCACAAGACCGGTGAGATCTTGCCGGTCGTGTGCCAATAATGATGTTTCTGTCCATGGATTTGTGATCTATGGCCGGAAACGACCAGATCTGGCCGTTTCACTACCAAAGATGTGGTTGTGAAACGCCATAAATCTAGCTATGAAAAGGCCGGATCTTTGGCCGTGAAATGGCCGCCATTTCAAGGTCAAAGATCTGACCTTTTCACGACCAAATTTGTGGCCGTTTCACAGCCATAACCTTGGTCGTGAAACGACCATATTCAAGGCTAGATCTAGCCCTTTTTTGTCATGGATCAAAGATCCATGACCAGATTAAGCCTTACTGACGCACGACCAACCAGATCTGGTCGGTCGTGTGCCATACGATAGCTGTCGACGATGGTGGCTAGCTGCCGGCAGTGGCTTGGGGGTGGGTGGGGGTGATTTTGCTACAAATTAAAGTTTTATATGGTTGGGGTGTTTTAGCAAAATTTCAAATATAGGGGGTTAAAAGAAATAATTTATAAAATAATAATAAAAATAATACTATTTAATTATTTAAAATGAGGGCAATTTAGTAATCTACATAACATACCCACTCATTTATCCTCCCAACCAAACATATTATTATAACATACCCACCAATTTATTCCAACCAATTAAACACATTTATCTAAAGATTCCCTGGTAATCTATCTTTCCAGTAATACAACATTCCCCAATAATATAACATTCTCTGAACCAAACTCATCTTATTTGCAATAAAAAATTCCTGTAATATTTTATGACTTGTAAACCAAATACAAGAATCTTGCAAAATAAAAGAAGATTACCCCCGTTATCTTATTTACCCCTGATCCAAATGGCCTTTCCAGTAATCTTTAAGGTAATCTATCTCTCTATTAATATAATATTCCCATAAGGGGGCGTTTGGTTAGGAGTAATGTGGGATTAATAGAGTTATGTCATCTTATATTATTGTTAGAGTAGATGCCCTAGAGTCAATCAATTATTGTAGAATTGACTCTTTGTAATAATGTTCATTGATCAATAAAAGACATTTTATACTATATCACGTAAATCATCATTGTATATATTGATATATACCCTTAGAATGGTAGAACCGTGACGAGGGTATCAAGTATTTCAAATCTTGATAGTGAAGACCCTATGAGCACATATGGTGGTCATTCTAGAAATGTCCGTAGCTCTAGTATTATTCTGAAGTAAGGGCATAGATAATACGGTAAGGCTATCATAGTGTTAAACGACCCTGTCGAAAGACAATGACTGATCTCACTTGTCAAGGTTGTTTGGTGACAACCTGGTGCAACACATGAGTGCTTGTTGTAGGCAAGTTCACTGGACTGACCCACTAAAGGATTCCATATGGATGGTAACCCCAGTGTCTATGAAACAAATCCTCTAACGAATGGCGGTGCATGTGATCCTTAGACTTGAGATCATCGAAGCGTCTTGTGCACCGATTGGTGTAGTTTGACACTAAACCAACGAAGTTCTATTCAGAGCTGTCAATACGATAGTGATTGGCTGCATCAAAGAGTGTATCAAGACTATGGTGGATCAATAGAGGATTCATCACTCCTGGGTACGGGGGAAGTTATCTCACGGCGTAATTCCGTAAATGGCAATGACACTAAAACTATGGCCACAGTGGGATTGAGTTGTTGCTCTATCCAAATTATTATTCAGGTCATTGGTCTAGTAACTGAATACATACATATCGAGAGTAACTGAGATTGACACTATTTCTATGCCTCAGTCTCGTTGAGATAACAGATGATGAAATGATTGAATTGTACGGTAACCATATCATTGATAGGTAGCTGCTTCGCTGAATCCAAATCTATCGGGTGGCTATGATGCCTTATTAGGGGCCAATCTTGGTCTATGTATAGTGAGACGATTAATTGGTATTAATCGCGATACTACACACTGCCGGTATGATAAAGAGCCTACGGGTCACACACATAGAAGATAATTTAAGAACTAGTTTATAAGAATGACGTTTTCTTCTTTTTAGGCAAAATGGTATTTTGGTAATCTCACAATGTAATTAAATTTGTTGAGGTCGTAGTCTTTATTTAATTTGATATTAAAATTATCTAAGTGAGATTACGTTTAAATATGTGTTTTTATATATTTAAATAAGTTATCATTATTGTTAAATGTTAATATATTAAATATATATATTAATTAATTTTAATTGAGATAATGATGAACTAATATTAAAATATCTAAACCGGAGTGTTTGGAAACAAGGGGTGTTTGGGTTGGCACTATAAAAGAAAAAGTTGAATTGAGAGAGAGTGTGATTTTTTCATTAATTCATTCATTCATTGAAAACAAAACCTCCAGCCCCAAAACACTCACCCACGCCAAAATGCTTTTTGCTTAGAATCAAATTATTCTTTGATTTTTCCTTCTTGTTTCTTAAGGCTAAAGAGGATCTAGCAAATCCTTTTTTAGTTCCTTGCGATTATCTTCGTGTGGACTACATCAGTTCGATCCTACACTTGGGTAGCAAAATACGTTCAAAGACAAAGTTGAAGGAGCCTCCAAACGTGCGTATGATTTCTTAAACTCTAAACTGATTTTCTGCAGATTCTTATTTTGATATAAACTGTAAATTTGTACCCTGATCTTGGTTCTTTGGAGCGATCCGTGTTGTTATTAATTTTTGTTTTCCGCTGCGTAACTGGATCGTTTCCTAACAATTTGGTTACCACATTTGGTTGTCAAGTAATATAAAATTTCGGTAATCTTCAAATACCAATAGTAGGTACCAATAGTAGGTACTGTTGGTAATATTGGAGGTAATCTGATTACCTCAATTTTCTTAGGTATTCTAAGATTACCAAGGTAATCTTTTTTTTGTTACAATTCAATCCCTTATTAATAAAATGTTAGGACAATAATTCCCTTATTTTTAAATTTATTTACATGAATATAACTTTTACTATTTCACCCCAATTAATTAACTTTTTGGACAAAATTATCCTTAAATTCAAAACAAATTACAGCCCACCCAAGCCACTACCCCCACCCACCTACCGTCGATTGTCGTTAGCAACCACCGCCGCAGCCAGCTGCTATCGCCACCGAAACAGCGCACAGAAGGCCGAAATTGGCCACCGTGCCCTGATATGGCTATTTCTGGCCATATATCTAGCCAGAAATGGCCAGATCGTGCCAAATTTGGCCGTCAATGGCCAAATCTTTGGTCGAAAATGGCCATACAGCACACAGAGGTCATTTCCTACCTTCTGTGCACCGTTAGGTTGCCGGCGGCCTGCTGTGGTTTCCAACGGCCGGCAGTGGCAGGGTTGGTAGGGATGCTTTGTGATTTTCCAAACTTTTATTATGGGGTTGTTTTTGCTAAGTTTTTAAATGCAGGGGATTATTCTATCTAAATAATAATCAATATTAAAAAATAATATAATAATAATATTTAATTAGAAGACAATTCAATAATTTAAATAATATATCAACCAATTTATTCCTCTTAATCAAATATATTAATATAACATACTCACTAATTAACTAAACACATTTTTTTAAAGATTCCCAATAATCTTTAGGGGGCGTTTGGTTCAAGAATGTTAGATTACTGAGAATGTTAGATTATTAGAAAGATAGATCACCTTAAAAGATTACTGGGAATCTTTAAGAAAATGTGTTTGGTTAGTTGGTGGGTATGTTATATTAATATGGTTAGTTATGGGGAATAAATTAGTGGGTATGTTATTTAAATTACTAAATTGTCCCCTTTACAAATATTAATATAATATTATTTTTATTATTAATTTTTGAATAATTTCTTTTAACCCCTAATATTTCAGATTTAGTAAAAACACCCCTGCTTATATAAAACTTTAATTTATTACGAAATCACCCTTACCTCCTGCCGCCACCTGCCGCCACCGCAGATCACCGCCGGAAGTCTCCGAAAGTCCCCATCAGCAACTCACCGTGACCAAGAGGCTTCGATATGGCTGTTTCCAGCCATATTGATGGCCGAAAACAGCCATATCAGGCCAGATCTGGTTGTTAATGGCCAGATCTCTAGCCATTATTAGCCAGATCTGGGCGAGATCTGGCCATTAACGGCCACGGACCTGGCCGAAATAGATCTAGCCGCTAACGGCCAGGTCCGTGGTCGTTAACGGCCAGATCTCGCCCAGATCTGGCTGATAATAGCCAGGGATCTGACCATTAACGGCCAAATCCATCGATCTGGCCTGATATGGATTGATGGCCGAAAACGGCCATAGCGATGACTCCCGGAGCCTCCCACCGAAACTCGTTCTTTTTTAGGGACTCTAGCGAGTTCTCTGAGGCGGTTCGTGGTGGTTGGCCGCTGTAGGCGGTGGTGGCTGGGTGGTAGTGGTGGTGGCGACTGAGTGGTAGTAGTTTGTAAATTGTTTTAAATTTAAGGACATTATTGTTTAAAATTTTAGTTAAATAAGGGTAAAATTGAAATAGGATATTAATGTAAATTTATTTTAAAATGAGGGCATTATTGTCTAAAATTTTTATTAATAAGGGATAAAATTGTAACAAAAAAGGATAACCTTGATAATCTCAGAATACCTAAGAAAATGGAGATAATCAGATTACCTCCAATATTATCAATAATAGTTACTATTAATATATGAATATTATCAGAATCTTATATTATTTGATAATCAAACGTGATAATCAAATAATATTATATGATATTACCCTAATAATATAATATTAACGTCAATCAAACGCCCCTTTCAGTAATCTATCTTTTCCAGTAATCTATCTTTTCAGTAATCTATATTCGCTGTACCAACGACTCTAAATATAATATTTTGAACGGGGTCTGAAAAATCTTGTACCCGGACCCGACTCCCGAGCCGCTGATAACCTGACCCTTTAGCTGATACATAACCCTCTCAAGTCGCGCGTCAATAAAAATAGTTTCTCTCTCTTCCCTCCATCTCTCAAACTCTGCGACTTCTCCTCTTCACAAAATCTGAATAAAACCGCAGCAAATTGAAGCAAAATCCACACATCTTCATATTTATATTAGTGTGATTGTGCCTGTGATCTTTTTCTTTTTCAGGAGAGCGTTCATTCGCGTTCCGGTACAGTTCATTTTTTATTCTCTCAATTAAAAAATCATGATCATGATTCTGATTTTTTTTTCCTCTTTAGTTACAATACATGATTTCATTTTGTTTAAGCTGTTCTCCTCTAACTGTTTGGGTCGTATCGGGCTTATTTTAAGAACTAAAATAGATGTAAAATCATTCCACATGACAAAATTGATGCCAGTCAATGTATATGTGGGTCTATATTATAATTTCTAGCTTAAATTGATGTATCTGATGGTTTTTATCTGATTATTTTACTTCCGGTTAGTAAGGATGTCTTATTATTCTTTACACTTGCAATTACGTTGTTTATATTCAGGAGTAATTTCTGATTCCAAGTAAAAGAAAGAGACCCTTCTGTTTTTTTCTCAGTTGGTAATATTTTAATATTAGTCGTCCCATCGAGCTCTCTATCTAGAGCTGATATTTGTTTTCTAGAGATTATTTATTGGGATAATATGTTTTTAATGATGGTTTTACTCTCTTTAATCTTCCTCGAAGACTGTTTGAATTGTGATATTAGCGTCATACGAGCATTAATAATTTCAATAAGAATATCTGATACTATAAGAGGGGATGGTACTTTGTGTAACAAAATATTATTATGTATGATCACGGCAGGCTTGGTTACTGAAAAGATGAGCCGACCAACCACTCGGAGTAAAAATAAAAGGCACAGACAAGGGACTGATTCTGATAGCGCTTCTGAAATATTGAGGTACTTGCATTTTTCTGTTTCCTAAATATATTTAGTATTGAGGTACTAGTATTTTTCTGTTTACTAGATAGATAAATCTGTATCCCTTTCTATCTGTGCTCTGATATATATTGTTTTTGCATTTCTATTGGCTTTGTAGGAAAATTCATTCAACAGGTGAAGTAACCGATGATGATGTGAAACAGTTGTACATGATTTTGAAACCAGTTTGTCAAAGCTGCCGTGTGAATACTAAAGATAACCCTAATTGTTTCTGTGGGCTGATTCCACCTCACAATGGAAGTCGTAAATCTGGCTTATGGCAGAAAATTTCGGACATTCTTCAAGCTCTTGGTCCAGACCCATGCAAGGATCTTCGTGCTTCTGCTTTCTCACCTGCTGGATTGACTAATTTGGGCGCAACATGCTATGCAAATAGTATACTGCAGTGCTTATACATGAATAAATCATTCCGTGAAGGTGTTTTCTCTGTTGAGCCTGATGTTTTGAAACAACATCCTGTGTTGGAACAACTTGCAAGACTTTTTGCACAGTTGCGTGCCAGTAAAATGGCTTTTATTGACTCAGCTCCATTCATTAAAACATTGGAGTTAGACAATGGAGTTCAACAGGATAGCCACGAGTTCTTGACCTTGCTTCTTTCTTTGCTTGAGCGTTGTTTTAGCCATTCTAAAGTTTCCAAGGCTAGAACAATTGTTCAAGATCTTTTCCGTGGGAGTGTGTCCCATGTGACAACGTAAGAATGGATTATGTCAAATGCTAGTTTTTGTAGTTTCATACCGATATAGATTTTGATTTTGGGCATTTTGTCCATTAATATTATACTTCTGTTCTCTAAGTTGTTTGATACTTTTTGGCTCCTTATTGTGAGTCATAATGGTGCATTGTTCTTTACATCTTTCTTTTTGAGTGGAGGGAGCTAAAATAAAGATTTTATTTCAAACTTGAAAAGGAGTGATACAAATTTGAGAAGCCATCAAGAGACAGAATAAAGATAAAAGGAGAATTCAGTAGATAATGATTGAATGATAACCACAATTAATTAGAAAGGATCAAATTTTTTGTTTTTACTTTTGTTAATTTCTCTTATTAAATTTCTTGAAGCTCATCTCAGAAGCCAACTTTAGAAGTTGACCACTTATTGTTTCAGAAAATATTGATGTATCAGTTATAATATTTACAAAAGTTAATCCATTTGGTTTGAATTTTGTTGTTAAGGATTTTTATTAAGAGAATGCCCACTGTTGATATCTGAAATATTCTCGCATGCTTCTTGCTGAATATCCATGCATAGGAGTCGTTAGCTATTTTGGAAGAAGTAGTTTGCTTAATCTAGATATTGATGCTCTTTGGTGTTATCAAGCTTTGTTTTCAAATGTTTTCCTCTTCTTTTTTCCTCTCTATCAATTTCTATATTTATTGTGGACGCGGCATGTGTTTATATATTTAGTTTCCACTCTCTTGTTGTTTACCTTCTTTTTGGTATTTAGGTGCTCAAAATGTGGAAAAGATTCTGAAGCTTCTGCGAAGACGGAAGACTTTTATGAGCTTGAGTTAAACGTCAAGGGCTTAAAAACTATAGATGAGAGTTTAGATGATTACCTTAGTGTGGAAGAGCTTCACGGAGATAATCAGTATTTTTGCGAATCATGTAGAGCAAGAGTTGATGCTACTCGGAGCATCAAGCTACGCTCACTTCCTGAAGTTCTTAATTTTCAGCTCAAGCGTTGTGTTTTCCTTCCAAAGGTACCTTGTCATGCACATTTGAGAACATTATGTCCCAGTATCTTGCAGTTATTTTGACAATAGTAATACTGTTAGACATGCTAATTTTGTCTCCTTTATGTCTCATTTGCCTGTCATTTTTTCAAGTTTGTGATGCTTGACTATTAACAAATGAGAGATTTTATCATTTCATTTATGTGGACAATATGCTGCTGCAGTTTTAGTTTGACTTATGACGTGCTATAAGTTAGTAATCATGCATTGGATAACATATGTGTAAGTAGAATAAAGGGTTATGTTTGAAAGGATAAATCCTTTTTTGAGGTGACAGTTTTACTTTTTAACCTGTATAGAGTGGTTATGTGGAGTTCTAACAATGTTTTGAGTTTTTTTTTTTTTTTACTCCAAATTGCTACCTTCTGTATGCCATGATAGATGCTACTTGTCTTTGGCTTGCTACAGTCATCTGGCTCTCAGCTTTAGTGTTGATGAGAAATTCATTACGTCTGACAAGCTGAATGATGAACTTTATATCATTTTGTGGCTGTAGAAAGGTTGTGTAGGCTCTGATTTGAAACTGTTATTGGTTAACAAAATTTCTTGCCTCCTCATTATTTTGAAGTCTCTCCTGATTACAATAGCTTCAGTCTGTCTAAAATGCAAAACTAGCTTCATGGTATCTGTTGTCCCTATATTAATGTTTCCTTTGTGTGTTAATTTGTGTCAGTAGACGACTATGAAGAAGAAAATCACTTCTGCTTTTTCTTTCCCTGGAGAATTGAATATGCAGCAGAGACTCTCCGAGCCATCTCAGTTTGATTTGATATATGATTTGTCAGCTGTTCTGATTCACAAGGGAACTGCTGTAAACAGTGGTCATTACATCGCGCTTATTAAGGATGAGAATACAGGGCACTGGTGGGAATTTGATGATGAGCATGTCTCAAACTTAGGTCATTGTCCTTTTGGAGAAGGTTCTTCAAGTTCCTGTAGTAAAGGTGGTTGTTCTGAGCCTGTTGTTTGTCCATCGAATACAGAAGGAATGGATGGCATGAATGTAAACCATGCTGTTCTTCAGCCACAGTCTTCAGAATCTTGTAATGGTTGTAATGTAGAGAGATTCACCTCAAATGATGCATATATGTTGATGTATAACCTGAGGTGTAGCAAGAAAGATGCCGAGAAGAAACATGTGGCCTGTGATGTCCACAATATGCAAATAGAAAATGATACTGTCTTTTTCCATGATGGTGTTTCTCTTCCATCTCATCTTTGTGAAGAGATAAAAGAATTGAATTCATCATATGTTGATGCTTGTGAACTATACAAATTAAAGCGGGACAGAGAATTGGATATTATTACAAAACGCAGACAGGAAGTGCGGTCAGTTCTTTCTGAAGCACCTGTTCGGTCAATCGAAGAACCATTTTATTGGATTTCCGCAGATTGGCTTCGCCAATGGGCTGATAACATTTCCCCACCGTATGTACAATTTCCTTTAATGCTGTTGTTATTATGCTATTTGAAGTTTTTCTTCATTTTTTTTGGTGCTTGTAAATCTTCTGCTTGATCCTGTAGACTAGGATATTTGCTTTTTTTGTGTATTTAGTTTTCCATTGTCCTAGGCATCTCCTGGGTTTCATCTATTTTGTTGGCATTGAAGCTTGCACCTATAAATCCTTGCGTATTATAGTTATTGATGTTTTGCAATGTAACGTGATGCAGTGTTCTAGACAATGCTCCTCTGCAATGCTTGCATGGGAAAGTTCCAGTATCAAAGGTTGGCACCATGAAGCGATTATCCACTGAAGCTTGGATTAAATTGTTCTCTAAGGTATTCACACACTCATTTAGCCTCATGTTTTTGCATGAAATTTAATGTAATTAGTCTTTCTTAATTGAGTTTCTTAATTTCTGTGGCTCTTTTTGCACATTTTCTCTTCACTTGTTTGTAGCAAGGGTTTCTTATTTGGGGATGCTTATTTTTTTTCTTTGATTGATGAACATGATGAGATGTCTTAGTGATTGGTGAAATGATCATGATAGGGAGAACTCTAAAGAGCCTAGGGAGGAAAGCCATTTGAACCTCAAAACGAGATGCTGCCAAAGGTTATTATGGTTGCCTCTTGGGCATTGGAACCCCAACCCTCTCATGTAAAATGACTGGCCCAATTAAAAAGCTGTCCTCCCAGGACCGCTTAGGGATATTTGGGCAATATTTATTCTCCGAGGGGAAACGGCGTCATAGAATACATGTGATACTCCTGGACTGTTGTAGCATAGAGTCTATGAAATCACCTGGAGCTTCTCAATTTCAATCGCATTTATCATTTTTTAGCTGTCAGACAAAGTTCCACCGGTTATCCCGTTTTGGATGTGAGTAAAGCTTTCATAATAAATGTGATTCCTTAGAACTTTTTAGTGAATGACCGTATGCCCTGTTCCCAGCTTGGCATGCCAAATCTTCAGGTGTTTATGATCCTTGCAGACCTAAGGAGAGGACTTCTTTTTGGGAAGGATTGGCTGGCCTTTTTGGATTGTGCAGTCCTAATTGGTGTCTTGGGGGGGATTTTAATCTAGTTCAATTCATATCTGAAAAATCCAATGGGGGCAGGGAAAGCTCTAGTATGAGACTCTTTAACACTTTTGTCAAGGAGACAGAATTCATTGATCCAGAGCTTAATAACGCAGAATTCACATGGTCTAATATGAGGGATGAAGCAGTATGCTGAATATTGGATAGATTGTTGTTCCCCTGTGAATCTGTGAATTGTTTTTGGGTTATGTAATTGATTCTTTTTCTTGTTCTTCTACTTTTTTATTTACCCTTTTTGCAGTAATATTATTACTCATGACTTTCTGTTAAACTCTTGTAAAATTCAGTATGATGGGGGGCCAACCCTGACCAATGATGACTACTGTTTGAAATGCCTTATTGATGGTGCGCGGACTATGGTATGTGCTGATAGCTATAGAGATAGAAGAAAATCAATGAAAGAGCTTGCAGATGACGTGTTATCAGGAAAGTTTGGAGAAGGAACATACTATGTGTCTAGGCCATGGTATGATCAAATTTTTTTTTTTTTTTTGTGTCCTGATTTTGTTTATCCTTCTTATTGTCTCAGAAATTAACTGATCATGGACTACATACAGTTTCTGAGAACGTGTTTTCATGCTGAACATAAGATCTTGTTGCTCTCCTTCCCTTTCTTGTACATATCAACTGTTTGAATTTACAATGGTGTTCCTATTTAATGATAAAATTTCTTGAGGTCATAATTAATTGTAATTTCAGCAGTCTCCTTTTCAGTTTTCAATTTTTGGGATTTGATATCATATTTAATCATTTTTATTGTACGTGATTTTTTATGTTTGCTTGGTCTGATATTTTGGCGGTTATATAGTGATAAACTTTATTCTTTGTAGGTTGCAACAATGGACAAAAAGAAAAAATCTTGATGCTCCTTGTGAAGCTGATGCAGGACCAACGACTTCAATTAGGTGTCCCCATTGGCAACTGATGCCGGAGCAAGCTCCTGGTGCTAAGCGATTATTGGTTCCTGAGAGTCTCTGGCTCTTCATTTATGAAGACGCTAAAAAAGTAAAACCTAATGATCTTTTGGGTTGTTCAGCTTTTCCATTAGACTCTAAACAGTGTAACGAATGCAGCGAAGAACTATCTGAAGTGGCATGCATGGAGGATTCTATAAGGTTATTTTAGTTGAACACTTAATTTTCTTTTTTGGTTAATATGTCTACTAAGTTTCTTGATTTCTAATAATTTTGCTGCAGGGCTCTGAAGCTTAAACAGCGCCAAAATCATGAAAAATTAGCTCTGGGTAGAAGTATTCCACTATCTTTGCATGGCAAATATTACTTGGTGCCCTCATCATGGCTTACAAAGTGGAGAAACTACATAAGTACAAGTGGAAAAAATGCTTCATCATCTGTGGGACCTGAAATTCTGGATGGTGTCATTGATTCAGTTAAATGTGAAAAGGTAAATTGCTGTCTCCATTACGCACAGGTTTTATACGTTGTTATATATTTACACTATTGGTAAAAGCTCTTTTTATTTTCTCTCCTCTGGGGAAAGGTAACTTGATGCGTTTGGCTCCCTCCAAACAGTGACATTTTTTATAATCTGAATTGATGGGATCTTTTGACGTTGGTATAAAACTTATTTGAAATTTTTTATCTGAATTGATGGGATCTTTTTCCATTGGAATAAAACTTATAATCTTATTTTTAGAAGTTCAACACCATTAGTGTTAAAATTGACTTATATTCAGTGTGTGTGGAATACATTATGATATTATTTTATGGAGGGGAAGATGAGCTCATGTAAGAGGATACAGCGATGCTAGTTTCCAAATCGACAAAGATGATTTCGATCTCAATCAGGGTTTGTATTTTGCTCAACAGGGGTGCAACGAGCTAGAAGAGCTCCAAGCAAAACACCGTAGCGGACTCTACAATAGAGAATGAGTATATTGCATTATCAGATACAGCCAAGGAGGTAGTGGATTAAGAAGTTTGTCACTGAACTTGGTGTGTTTCCACGATGTTATCCAATAGACATCTATTGTGACAACAAGGAGCAATCGCTCAAGCTAGGGAACCACAGTCTCATCAGAAGTCCAGACACTACTCAGACGATTCACCTCATCAGAGGATAGGTGAGAGGAAAGATGTGCAGATCAATAAAGTGCATACTGACGACAATCTCGCAGATCTACTAACAAAGCCCTATCGCAGCAGAGCATGAAAGGCACTTGAGATCATTTGGTATTAAATACATGAATGAATGGCTATAGTGCAAGTGGGAGATTGTTAGAGTAGGTGCCCTAGAGCCAATCAATTATTGTAGAATTGACACTTTGTAATAATGTCATTGATCAATAATAGACATTTTATTCTATATCGCGTAAATCATCATTGTATGTATTGATATATGTCCTTAGAATTGTATAATGTGAGAGGGCATCAAGTGTTTCAAATCTTGATAGTGAGAACCCTATGAGCACATATGGTGGCATTCTGAAAACGTCCGAGCCTAGTATTATTCTGAAGTAAGGGCACAGATAATACGGTAGGCATCCTAGCGTTGAACGGCCCTGTCGAAAGGCAGTGACTGATCTCACTTGTAAGGTTGTTTAGTGACAACCTGGTGCAACATGGGTGTTTGCTGTATGCAAGTTCACTAGACTGACCCACCAGAGGATCCATATGGATGGTAACCCTAGTGTAATGTAGACAAGCTTTTGCCAAGCCAATTCTAAACTTTTCTTTCACTTTCTTTTGATGTAAACTTCCCAAAAGCTCTCCAAAAAGAAAGCTTCATTGTAAGTTAAATTTCTTTCATAAATCATTCAATGTTTGTTTATCTTCAAGTTCTTTGATTATTCTCTTTTAATCTTTCAAGTTCTAGTTCTTTTAATAATCATTCATCATGTTTGATTTTAATGTTTATTAATGTTTATTTAAGTTTTTATTGTGTTCCTTGTTTCTTTAAATTTTGTTCATCACTTAATTTGGTTCCAGTGCGGCACTGCCGCCGTTACCTAGTAAGTGTAATCTCATTCTAATATGATTTCTGTGTGGCTCTGCCGCCGTTGTCTTATAAGTGTAAGATTATTTAAATTAATGTTATTTAAGTTTATTTTAGTTTATTTAAGTTTATGTTTTTTTTTTTTTTAAGTTATTTAAGTTTTGTTTAATCTCTGCATATCTCCCTTGTGTGCAACGATCCTGTGTCCTTTTCGGCCATCGAAGTCTCTTGGTCACAGTGAGTTGCTGATGGGGACTTTTGGAGACTTCCGGCAGTGGTCTACGATGGTGGCAGGCGGCGACAGGAGGTGGGGGTGATTTCGTAATAATTAAAGTTTTTATAAGCAGGGGTGTTTTAACTAAATCTGAAATATGGGTTTAAAAGAAATTATTAAAAATTAATAATAAAAAATAATTATATTAATATTTGTAAAGGGGACAATTTAATAATTTAAATAACATACCCACCAATTTATTCCTCATAACCAACCATATTAATATAATATACCCATCAACTAACCAAACATATTTTCTTAAAGATTCTCAGTAATCTTCTAAGATAATCTATCTTTTCAGTAATCTAACATTCCCAATAATCTAACATTCTTGAACTAAAGCCTCTAAATATAATATTTTGAACGATGGTCTGAAAAATCTTGTACCCGGACCCGACTCCGGAGCCGCTGATAACCTGACCTTTAGCTTATACATAACCCTCTCAAGTCGCGGTCAATAAAAATAGTTTCTCTCTCTTCCCTCCATCTCTCAAACTCTGCGACTTCTCCTCTTCACAAAATCTGAATAAAACCGCAGCAAATTGAAGCAAAATCCACACATCTTCTATTATATTAGTGTGATTGTGCCTGTGATCTTTTTCTTCCTTCAGGAGAGCGTTCATTCGCGTTCCGGTACAGTTCATTTTTTATTCTCTCAATTAAAAAATCATGATCATGATTCTGATTTTTTTTTCCTCTTTAGTTACAATAAATGATTTCATTTTGTTTAAGCTCTTCTCTAACTGTTTGGGTCGTATCGGGGTTATTTTAAGAACTAAAATAGATGTAAAATCATTCCACATGACAAAATTGATGCCAGTCAATGTATATGTGGGCTATATTATAATTTCTAGCTTAAATTGATGTTATGATGGTTTTTATCTGATTATTTACTTCGGTTAGTAAGGATGTCTATATTCTTTACACTTGCAATTACGTTTTATATTCAGGAGTAATTTCTGATTCCAAGAAAAGAAATAGACCTCTGTTTTTTTCTCAGTTGGTAATATTTTAATATTAGTCGTCCCATCGAGCTCTCTATTTAGAGCTGTATTTGTTTTCTAGAGATTATTTTTGGGATAATATGTTTTTAATGATGGTTTTATCTCTTTTAATCTTCCTCGAAGACTGTTTGAATTGTGATATTATCGTCATACGAGCATTAATAATTTCAATAATATCTGATACTATAAGAGGGGATGGTACTTTGTGTAACAAAATATTATGTATGATCACGGCAGGCTTGGTTACTGAAAAGATGAGCCGACCAACCACTCGGAGTAAAAATAAAAGGCACAGACAAGGGACTGATTCTGATAGCGTTCTGAAATATTGAGGTACTTGCATTTTCTGTTTCCTAAATATATTTAGTATTGAGGTACTAGTATTTTTCTGTTTACTAGATAGATAAATCTGTATCCCTTTCTATCGTGCTCTGATATAATGTTTTTGCATTTCTATTGGCTTTGTAGGAAAATTCATTCAACAGGTGAAGTAACCGATGATGATGTGAAACAGTTGTACATGATTCGAAACCAGTTTGTCAAAGCTGCCGTGTGAATACTAAAGATAACCTAATTGTTTCTGTGGGCTGATTCCACCTCACAATGGAAGTCGTAAATCTGGCTTATGGCAGAAAATTTCGGACATTCTTCAAGCTCTTGGCCGATCATGCAAGGATCTTGTGCTTCTGCTTTCTCACCTGGGATGACTAATTTGGGCGCAACATGCTATGCAAATAGTATACTGCAGTGCTTATACATGAATAATCATTCCGTGAAGGTGTTTTTCTCTGTTGAGCCTGATGTTTTGAAACAACATCCTGTGTTGGAACAACTTGCAAGACTTTTTGCACAGTGCGTGCCAGTAAAATGGCTTTTATTGACTCAGCTCATTATAAACATTGGAGTTAGAAATGGAGTTCAACAGGATAGACGAGTTCTTGACCTTGCTTCTTTCTTTGCTTGAGCGTTGTTTTAGCCATTCTAAAGTTTCCAAGGCTAGAAAAATTGTTCAAGATCTTTTCCGTGGGAGTGTGCCATGTGACAACGTAAGAATGGATTATGTCAAATGCTAGTTTTTGTAGTTTCATACCGATATAGATTTGATTTTGGGCATTCTGTCCATTATATTTAATTCTGTTCTCTAAGTTGTTTGATATTTTTGGCTCCTTATTGTGAGTCATAATGGTGCATGTTTCTTACATCTTTCTTTTTGAGTGGAGGGAGTAAAATAAAGATTTTATTTCAAACTTGAAAAGGAGTGAACAAATTGAAAGCCATCTAGAGACAGAATAAAGATGAAAGGGAATTCAGTAGATAAGATTGAATGATAACCCCAATTAATTAGAAGGATCAAATTTTTTGTTTTACTTTTGTTAATTTCTCTTAAATTTCTTGAAGCTCATCTCAGAAGCCAACTTTAGAAGTTGACCATTATTGTTTCAGAAAATATTGATGTATCATTATAATATTTACAAAAGTTAATCCATTTGGTTTGATTTTGTTGTTAAGGTTTTTATTAAGAGAATGCCCACTGTTGATTCTGATATTCTCGCATGCTTCTGCTGAATATCATGCATAGGAGTCGTTAGCTATTGGAAGAAGTAGTTTGCTTATCTAGATATTGATGCTCTTGTGTTATCAACTTTGTTTTCAAATGTTTTCTCTTCTTTTTTCCTCTCTATCAATTCATATTTATTGTGGAAGCGGCAGTGTTTTATTATTTAGTTTCCACTCTTGTTGTTTACCTTCTTTTTGGTATTTAGGTGCTCAAAATGTGGCAAAGATTCTGAAGCTTCTGCGAAGACGGAAGACTTTTATGAGCTTGAGTAAACGTCAGGGCTTAAAAACTATAGATGAGAGTTTAGATGATTACCTTAGTGTGGAAGAGCTTCACGGAGATAATCAGTATTTTTGCGAATCATGTAGAGCAAGAGTTGATGCTACTCGGAGCATCAAGCTACGCTCACTCCTGAAGTTCTTAATTTTCAGCTCAAGCGTTGTGTTTTCCTTCCAAAGGTACCTTGTCATGCACATTTGAGAACATTATGCCCAGTATCTTGCAGTTATTTTGACAATAGTAATACTGTTAGACATGCTAATTTTGTCTCCTTATGTCTCATTTGCCTGTCATTTTTTCAAGTTTGTGATGCTTGAATTAACAGATGAGAGATTTTATCAATTCATTATGTGGACAATATGCTGCTGCAGTTTTAGTTTGACTTATGACGTGCTATAAGTTAGTAATCATGCATTGGATAACATATGATAAGTAGAAAAGGGTTATGTTTGAAAGGATAAATCCTTTTTGAGGTGGCAGTTTTACTTTTTAACCTGTATAGATGGTTATGTGGAG